GAATAGTGTTGAGGGTTTAGGGTTAGACTTCGTGACATTTTTATTTAATTATTAAGTGAGAATGGTTAGTAGTTTCCAGAAATATCCTACTCACTAGTTCATTGTGGCATTTTGGATTCTCAAGACTATGCCATTAGAACAAAAGTTGTGACAGGCCTCACCAGGAGGAAAGATTTTACATATGAGTACAACGATGGCTTGTCTAAGTATCAGCCTAGTGATGTTTCAAGAGGCTTATCACCTGGTTACTTAACAAGCTTCTACATATCAATTGGTAACAGTACTAAATTCATAAGGATTAATTACAAAACACAATTTAAAGACAATTTTAAGATGCCATTGCAGACAATCATTTTGGATTTCTCCTTCATCAAACCATTGGATAGGAGGGTTGGTTTATTTCATTAGAAATTTTTCCACATAACTAGTTGTTTGATCCTTACCCTAGTAGACTTTGGTGAGTATGCTAACGATCCAAAGGCAAGCAGTCAAAATGTGAGAAGACAGAGTGGGCTGCATATGCAAACATTTTAGGACAGTTTTATGATGGCGGTAGCAAGCAACAGTGTTGTTCAGAGCGTCTGACTCTTCATGACCCCACTTGGCAAAACATCTTGGCAAATATACTGGAGCGGTTTGCCATTTCCTTCTCCAACTGATTTTATAGATTAGGAAACTGAGGCAAATGGGGTTAAGTGACTTGCCCAGGGTCAGTTAGTAAGTATCTTGGGGCCAGATTTGGACTTGGGTCTTCCTGACTCGAGGCCCAATGCCCTATCCAGTGGGCCACCTAGCTGCCCTAGAACAACAGTAGAGAGGAGAAAGTGGTAGAGATTACTCACTGAGTGCTAAGTACACTTCCTTAAATACCGATCTTATTGCATTCAAATGACCTCTAAATGAAGCAGGGAATCTTAGATTGGTAATTTTTAAAGTTTTCCTTCTATCCCCTTCCCCCCCAACTATAGAGATGTCTACTTAAAATTCAATTGAGACTATTTTTTTAATCTATGATCTTATATTTGTTTATCTATCTATCTATTTATTTATAGCCAAGGGTTTTCTGGAAATGGTTGTGATTTTTTCTATTTTGAAAGCAAAACTAGTTTTTCTTTGTAAAAAAGACACTTTGTTAGGGTGAAGGGTGGGAAAAAAATGTTAACCTGACTTTTGTCTGAAAACTGGAGTCACACTTGATATAGATATTAAAAGTCACTGACATTTATGAGAGGCAGAATTACATGAAATTAAATTGTAGGACTTGGAGTCAGGAAAAACGGTTTGAACATACTAAAGTAGTGAAAGTGGCAACTTAAGACAATGATGGAGGAGTTGGTGATCCACATTGGTAGAGGTAGCTTCCACACCAGGGGTTCCTTGCAGTGAAATGGAAGGGGTAGTAGAGAGGGAGAGAGACAGAGACAGAGAGAGTACTTTAGATAGGCTGCTTGGTGTAGTACAGGGATTCTTAAAATGTGCTCTACGGATAGATTTCAGGTGACCCAGTGAACTTGAATGGGAACAAAATTATAGCTTTATTTTAATTTTAATTTAATTTTATTATTTTTAAATTGTGTTACATTAAAATTAATTATTAAAGTTAAAGTTAAATGTTTAAATTCAATATTAATTTTTAAATTTTACTATTTTGTTTCCTTTGTAATCCTTTTGAATTTTCTTTAATTTTTAAAATTAATTTATTTTTAGTTTTCAACATTCACTCTCATAAAATTTTAAGTTTTAAATTTTCTCCCCTTCCTTTCCCTCCCCCCTCCCCAAGACGGCATACAATCTAACATAAGTTGTACATATACATTCCTATTAGACATATTTTCAGATTAGTCATTGTAAAGAAGAATCAGAACCAATGGGAGGAACTACCAGAAAGAGGAAACAAAACAAAAAAAAAAAAGAGAGAGAGAGAGAGAAAGCAAATAGTCTGCTTCAATCCAGACTCCAGAGTTCTTTCTCCAGATGTGGCCAGCATTTTCCATCGTGAGTCTTTTGGGGTTGCCTTAGATCCTTGCATTGCTGAGAAAAGCCAAGTCTATTAAAGTTGGTCATCTAACAATGTGGCTGTTACTGTGTACAATGTTTTTCTGGTTCTGCTCACTTCACTCAACATCAGACCACACAAGTCTTTCCAGGTTTTGCTCAAGGCCAGCTGCTCATCATTTCTTATAGCACAATAGTATTCCATTACATTCATATATCACAACTTGTTCAGCCATTCCCCAATTGATGGGCATCCCCTCAATTCCCAATTCTTAGCCACCACAGAAAGAGTGGCTATAAGTATGTTTGTACATGTGGGTCCTTTTCCCATTTTTATGATCTCTTTGGGATACAGACCTAGAAGTGGTATGGCTGGGTCAAAGGGTATGCACAATTTTATAGACTTTTGGAAAAATTCCAATTTGTTCTCCAGAATGGTTGGATCAGTTCACAACTCCATCAACAATGCATTAGTGTTCCAATTTTCCCACATCTTCTCCAACATTTATCATTTTCCTGTTTTGTCATGTTAGCCAATCTGATAGGTGTGATGTGGTACCTCAGAGTTGTTTTGATTTGCATTTCTCTAATCAATAGTGATTTAGAGCATTTTTTCATATGCCTTTAGATAGCTTTCATTTCTTCATTTGAAAACTGCCTGTTCATATCCTTTGACCATTTATCAATTGGGGAATGTCTTGTATTCTTCTAAATTTGACTCAGTTCTCTATATATTTTAGAAATGAGGCCTTTATCAGAGACACTGGCTATAAAAATTCTTTCCCAGCTTTCTGCTTCCTTTCTAAGGTTGGTTGCATTGGCTTTGTTTGTGCAAAACCTTTTCAATTTAATGTAATCGAACTCATCCACTTTGCATTTCATAATGTTCTGTATCTCTTGTTTGGTCATAAATTCTTCCATTCTCCATAAATCTGACAGTCCTTTGTAATCCTACATGTTTTATTTTATACCTTTAAAAACCTTGCTCTGAGAAGGGCGCCAAAGAACTCACCAGATAATAGCCAAAGTGGTGCAGGACACACAAAAAGGGTGAAGTAGCCCTGGTGTAGTGGATAGAGTTGGAATCGGAGTCAAGATCTAGATTCAGGTCTGGCATTTGATACCCTTGGCAGGTCACTTCATCTCTGAGCCTCTGCCTATCAGTCTAAAAGGGGGATAGTAACAGTAGCATTTGCAAAGTTGTTTAGAGAATCAGATGAGATAAAAGTATGTAAGGTACCTTAAACCTTAGTGTTTGTAAAGCACTATAATAATTGAGGTTGGATATCCCCCTCTATGGGATGGGGGTGGGGGTAGAGTTCTTACCCCCACAAGTTCCACATTTAAGGTGGGTAACCTATGAGAAAATAACAAGTGATAGTGTTAGAGGTGAGAGTTGAACCTTGAGCTTCTTGACTCCAGGCCTGGGTTGTTACGATGTAGGAGGCTACACTGTCTTTTGCTTAATCTTGGACCATTTTATGTCAACGTTAATTTTCCCCAAACCTTTTCAAGGCCAGATTTCTCTTTCCTCTCTGACCCCACCCCCACTCTTACCCCAGAGGATCATAACAACATCTTAATTGGAGCAAGGTTGTCTCAGAGGAAGCCAAGTGAAGAGGTTGAGCCTCCAGGGGTGGGGAGCGCCCTCATTTATCCTAGCATTCTCTTCTTGAATTAACATTGTTTTAGGACAGTTTTCTCCCTCTCCCCACTATCCCCCAAATATAATTAAATCTTCGAAAATGACTGAGTCGCTGCCCTTGACTGGCATTGGTAAAGTTTCTAGTACGGGAACTGCACACCGAGAAATGAAATCTCAGCGCCCAACTGGCCTCAGCCTCACTTTGCTTTATGGGTGATGACGCAGGTGGGGGAGGGGTTAGAAGGCACGCATGGTCACAAAGAAAACTGGGCGGGGCGTATGACAGGGCGGGAAGCTGGTAGCTGCCCTCGCGCCCAGTTTTCCTTACAGCTGTCCTCTCAGTGCCCGGCCTCGGTTGTCCTCAGAGGCTGTCCTACTCTCAGGTTTTTCCTTTGTCCTCGGAGACTTTTTGTTCGTTTGTTCTCCAGGGAGACCTTTTGTCCTTAGAGACTTGTGGCCTTTTTGGAAACTTATCTCTGAGACTTTTTTTATTCTCCCTGGAAACTCATTCTCCTCAGAGATTTTTTGTTCTCAGAGACTTTTTCTCCTCAAGAGCCTTTCCTTCACCTCCACAGATATTTTTCCTCCTACTCCTCCAAGACTTTGGGCCTCTCCAGAGACTTTTCTTCCCCTTTATCCTTGCCCTTCCCCTCCCCCCACCTACCATCGGGACTGACTCTTGGCACCTCCATCTTCCCTCGAGGCAGCAGCATCGAATTGTCCTCACTGTAGTCATCATCGGCAAATGCCAGGTCGGGTGACGCGGAACTGAGTGAGTGTGTGTGTCCGTAGGTCTGTGTGGATCGGGCCTCCCGCCTCCCTCCCAGGCCTCTGCCTCCACTGCCCTCCCTCTCGGTGCCCTGCTGTCCGGTCCCCTCGGGTTGGTCAGGTCGGGCCGGGTTCCCGCCGCAGGCGGCCTCCGCGAGGCCTCCTCCTCCTCCTCCCCCCCCTTCCACCCCAGCCTCCATCTCGGCCGCCAGCGCCGCCGCCATCATCACCAAGGCCTCCTCCACCTGAGCGACCGGCCTTAGCATCCACCGCCCCTCCCCTCCCCGACCAGGTCCGGGCCACGGGGCCTGGGTCCCCCCCCACCTTGGTGTTCCCTCCTGCAGCAGAGCCAGAACCACCGGGCACCATCCCCGCACCCCGCCCGCACCCCGCCGCGTCTTCCGCTGTCCTCCTCCTCCCCTAGGCCACCAGAGCCACAGGCACTCCTTGGGCCGCGGGTATGGCGACGCCCACCTCCCCCATCGACATGGACATTTCCGAATGCGAACTGGCTTCCTGCAGCACCGACACCACCACCATCACGCCAGCATCTTTCACCTCGATGATGGCCACCCCCGCGTCCTTGGTCTCCATGGCCTCCTTGGGCACGGACGAAGACGAAGAAGAAGAGGCTATGCTGGTGTCGGGCTACGGCGCCGCAGCTTCTGGGGCACCCGTCTCCATGGAGCAGGAGTTCGAGGCCTTGGACGCGGGCAATGGATGGCCCCAAGCCTACTTCAAGGTGGACGACCTGTGCCGCAACTACCCATACCACGTGGCGCGGGCCTCGGAGAACAGGTCCCGCAACCGCTACAGGGACGTGAGCCCCTACGATCACAGCCGGGTTTGCCTGAAGGCGGCGACCCCAGCCCCTGGGGGAGGCTTTCACCCAGGCCTCGGCTTGGCTTTGGCCATGGCCGGGGGTTCTTACCCGTCCTCTTCGACATCCTCAAGCCTTGGGGACCGAGGTGGAGGTAGGGAGCAGAACGACTACATCAACGCCAGTTTCGTGGTAGTGGAGGAGGCCCATCGGAGCTATATCCTGACCCAGGGGCCCCTGCCCAATACCTGTGGCCACTTCTGGCTTATGGTGTGGCAGCAGGACAGCAAGGCCGTGATTATGCTCAACCAGTTGGTGGAGAAGGGCTCCATCAAGTGCTCCCAGTACTGGCCCCCCTTCCAGGGCCAGACCCTCCTCTTCGAGGAGATAGGCATCAGGGTGCACATGCTGGGGGAGGAGGGGAAGCCCTACCACACAGTCCACTACCTGAGGCTGGAGAACATACTGACAGGGGAGATGAGGCCCATCTACCACTTCCACTATACCAGCTGGCCCGACTTCGGGGTACCTGAATCTCCTGCCTCCTTCCTTGCTTTCCTTTTCATGGTTCGGGAGTCGGGCTCCCTCAACTATGAGCAGGGCCCTGTGGTCATCCACTGCAGCGCCGGCATCGGGCGATCAGGCACCTTTGCGCTGATTGATGCCTGCCTGGTCCTGATGGAGAAGAAAGATAACCCCTTTTCCCTTAACATCAGACAAGTATTGGTGGGCATGAGAAAGTACCGGATGGGACTTATTCAGACCCCAGAACAGCTAAGATTCTCATACATGGCTGTCATTGAAGGGGCAAAATTCCTCATGGGAGATGAAAACATCAAGAAAAAGTGGGAACAACTTAGCAAGGAAGATCATGCTCGAAGCTACAGCTTTGACAGTTCTCCACCTCCAAGTGGAATAGTAAATAGAAGCTATAAAGCTGTCAGGCTGTTTTTAAAGGATGATAAGGATGGTGATGAGGAGGATGATGATAATGAAATAGATGATGAGTCAGATTATTCAGATCTAGCCACTAGACTGCCGGATTCTGAGGAAGAGAGCCCTGAAGGTGGTGCCCGTAAACCAAGTCGAGAGGATTGTAAAGCTAGTACCAGTCGGGATGGGAATGAGGAGAGGGAGACACCAGCTAAGGCTCCATTTAAAAAAAAAAGATTCAGTCTACAGGACTTTTGAACAATTCAGTCATGCAAAGACCAACTGAAAATGCTCTCTCTGATCCAAGGAAGAAGAAAATGTCTCAAAGACTTGTTTACACCGTTTACTGTATACATCCAGAGTAAAGAGTACCACTGGCAAAACCCTTTAATTTGTTAAGTGTTTTAGATGCTTTCAAAAAATTTAGACCTTTCAAAACCCGTAAATTTGATTAGTTGTTGAATATTTTTTAAAGTGCTTATATGAGTTGTAGAAAGAAACAAAATGAATGAAAACACTTTTATTACACTTCTGTTCTTTAGGTGTTTTTATATTCTGGGTAGAATTAAGTGTTTTTTAAACTGAAAAAAGTTAAGATGTTTATCATTTTAAAGTGTATTTTAGCTCCTCGAAGACCACCAACTTTGACTTTTGAAAAATTTAATGATATATTATAAACTTGATACTGAGTAGCTATACCAGTAAATAACTTACTATCTGTTTACATTACTGGAAAAATATTTATTGACTTAACTATTTAAGTTACTTAGTAGCTATTTACATTATTTTGCCAGCATAAAATGTTTTCTTAAGTGGAAAAATATTAAAATTCTTAACAGCATGTTTATCATTTGACAGGCATTTTAGTAACTTCAAAGATCGACTGATTTTAAATAATTTATAGTAAACTTAATATCGGATAGCAATACAAATAAGTAACTTGTTTAGTATCTGTTTATATTACTGGAAAAATATTTAAAATTTAACTATTTGAAGTAAATTTAACTATTTAAAGTACTTAGTAGCTATTTACATTATTTTACCAGCCTTAAATATTTTAACTAAAAAAAAAATGAAAACTTTAAGATAGGTATCATTTTAACATGCATTTTAGTAACTTCAAAGATTGATTGTTTTTAATAATTTATTATAAGCTTAATATTCAACATCATCTTAAATAAACTTGCTTAGCAACTATTTGCATTTATATTAATTTAAATTGATTAAAATATAACAACTTTTCAGTCTTCATCAGACTTCTTTGTCCATTTCTTCTCATTTATTCTTCCTTTCATATTGTCATAGCCTGTGCTCTCTTTTACTGCTTCTGCTTTTTGCTATTTGCATTATTTCATGAAGGTTTTTTCCAGATTTCTTTATATTCTTTATACATGTCTCTCTTGATTCCATTATGGTACCGTGATTTATTTGATCATTCCTCCTCTTTTGAACACTTAGGTTGCTTTTAAGTTGTTTTTTTTTTTAATTACAAATAATGCTGCTTTAAAAAGCTTTAAACCTCCTTTTTTGTTTGCTTTTGACAACCCTTTCAAGTTTATGTAATAGAATTATTGTATCAAAAGTTATGATTCTTTTTGTAACTTCCTCAAAACTGCTAGATGGATCTCCAGAAAAATTCTCTGCCAGTTTTCAGTTCTACCAGGAATGAATGAATGTACTTGTTTCTTCACAACCCTACTAGAATTTAGTTTCATTTGGATTAATCATTTTTGCCAATTTAATAGGTTTGAGGTGGTACTTCAAAGTTTTTTTTTTAATTTGCACCTCCTGAATTATTTGGAAAGACAAGCATTTTTCTAATAAGTATTAACAATTTGTGCTTCCTTTTTTTTTATTGGAACATTCTCTCAGCACCCAACTGCCAATTTTCCCAAGTACATTTGTAAAATTATGAATCCTCCCAGTTTTTAGTTTCAGTAGACTTGTGAAACATTCATCTTTCGTACACATTAGTTAGATGTCTGGTATATCTATTCCATTGCTCTTTCTCTCGATTTATTTTAATTCAATACCAAGTAGATAGACCCTTTGTAACATTTTAAAAATTGGGAGTATAAGACTACCATCAGCTTGGTTTTTTCCGCCTTGCCTCTTGATATTCTTGATCATTGTTTTTCCATATAAATTTCATTATGATTGTGTCCAGTCCTATAAAGAAACATTGGTATTTTGATTGGTATTCCATTAAGGATATAGATTAATCTGATGTCTAGTGCCATTTTTATTATATTAATCTGACCTATCCATGAAGCATTGACTCTCCCTCCAACCATTTAGGTCTTCAATTACCAAAAATTGATTAAGTGCCAGGCACTGTGTTAGGTCCTAGGGATATAAGAACAAAAATGAAACACTCTCTTTTCTTTAGGAGCTTACATTTCTTCACAGGAGAATAACATACATATATAAGTATCTACAGAAGAAGTACTTATATATATATATAAGTATATGCAGAAGGTGATTTAGGGAGGACACTAGCAATTGGGAGGTTCAAGAAAAGCTTTGGGTAGAAGGTGATAGTTGAGCTGAGTCTTGAAGGAAGAGATCTACAAAGAAGCAGTAAGGAAAGGGTACATTCAAAGTATGGGGGAAACAGCCAGTGCCAAGGCAGAAAGATTGGAGATGGAGTGCTGTGTGTGAAGAGCAAAGAGAAGACCAGTTTGGCTCTATAGTAGAATGCAAGAAGAGGACTAATACATAATGAGGCCAGATAAGTAAGTTGGTGCTAGGTTTGGAAGGGTTTTAAAAGCCAAACAGAACATTTTTTAAAATTTTTCAACAAAGCAAAACGTAGCCACTACAAATGATTGAGTTGGGGAGTGGTACGGTCAGATGTGGGTTTAAAGCAAATGAGTTTGGCAGCTGTGTGTGTAGGATGGACTGGAATGGAGAGAGGCTTGAGAGACCCTTAACGGCAAAGGTCATTATAGCTTGATAGTTGTCCTTATGTAGGTCTTATGTGTTTCTGGGTAATGGTTGAATATTTGATTGTTTTGTTTTTATAGATGTGATTTCTTATTTTATGATGTTTTCATGATCTTTATTGCTACTTACACCAACCTTTTCAACTCTATAGAGAAATAAAGCTTAACCCTACACAGACTTTGGGGATACCCTCTATTACACTCAGAAGCCACTTTTAAAAAGTTTAATTTTAAAGGATACTCCTCAAGTTCTCCACTTAAACCTTACTATGAAGTTTCTTTTTAAATTTCTAGGTGTAACTACCTGTTTCCTATTGTCTTGTCTCATCTCTGACTTTAAGTGCAATAATTAGTCAATACCCTGGATGCACTGCTATCTCAGACAGCTCTTTTCTGTTTTACTTAGTAAGATTCTTGAAGCAACTAAGGTGACCGTCAATGATGAATCCTCTAGTTTGAGCTTTCTTCTGGATTGTCTTTCCTCTGTATTTGGTTATGTGCAAATAATTGAAATGCCTTTTCGTGGATTCATTTTACATGAAGGAGTGAAACACAAAATAGTGACAGAATTTTTAAGAAGCCAACACTTCCCTGATGACCTTCTATTCAGGGAAAAGCCAGAAGGCATCTTAAGTTTTTGGATTTTTTTTAAAAAATACAACCAATTCTCACCAGGGTGACTATATACATGAATTTTAAATGTTGTCTGTTATTTTTATTCATAGTTTTGATTACTTGGGAATACACCACATACTTACTTTGTAATAGAGATCAGGAGTGATATGAATTTATAGCTGACAAGAGTGAGGGTACATTTTGTGCCTTATTGCTGCAGTGAGCGCGTTAAATGATGCCCAATATTTTGATACAGTTAGTATGCATCTTCTCTCCCCTTCCTCCATGGTAGACCATGGCTAACCAAATCACACATGCCTTTGCACCTGTCTGAGGCACTCTTGACATATTATTGTGCGTTAGGATCTTCCTTTCATGTCCTCAGTTACCAAGCTCTGAGCACTCCACATTGCCTGCTTCAGCCACCTTTGTGGCCATTGAAACAAATTGTTATCTAGCCATTCTGCCAAAGGAAGTCTTCACGTGCTTGGGCTCGATACCCCACCCAGCTCACTGAAGGGTTCAAGACCCCTCAGTTCCCCTCGACCTGGTTTGGCCTGTCTGCCAAAACAGTTTACCCAGCTGTGGTTGCTGTGCATGCCACAACTTTTTAGAGCACAGATGAGAGTTGGGTGAATTAGGTGGACACCCCAAGGTGGAAAGCGGCCCTCACACCAGAGGTATTAGTCTTACCTTGACTCTAACGTAGTGATGTCATTTTGGTCCTCTTTGAGAATGAAGGACAGCAACCAACCAGCTCTGTTAGCATTTCATGATTAGGGGGTGTGGTGAAGGTGGCTTCTCAAAGGCTCGGCCAACAGAGGGCAAGTTCTAGCAGGTCCTACTAAGCTGGAAAAACTTCGAGTCCCGGTGTTATTATCCAAGGTTCGGAGAAGTACGTCACCAGGATGACTGGAAGATGACGAATTTTTCAACCATAGCATTTCTGGAAGGCCTCCTCCTGAGTCCTAGTGTTGTGTACTTCTTCAGTGAAGGTGGTGCCCATACTGATGAAAATACAGATCCTTGACAAGTATTGAGGTACTCTGTGCCATGGTGATCTATGTATGTGTTTTTCCCCATTGTACTATTAGTTCCATGAAGGCAGGGACCCTATCTTTTCTAAACTTTCTGTCTCCCTCAACATCCAGCATAGTATTTTCTACACAGCAGGTGCTTAGTCAATATTCGTTAAATTAACCCTTTTACTGCATCCCTTTGGTCTTGCTTTAACCTGTGCCTGCGGAAAAACCTTTGCCTATGTGTTTGTATTTGTGCCTATAACTGTCTCCTGTCTCATTGAATGAAAAGATGCCCAATGTCACTAGCTGTGCCTTGGGCATTGCCATTCATCCGATGACCTCAGAACGGCAATTAGACTGCACTGACGTGCTGTTCACAGGAAATAGCGGAAGGAACCGAGAAATTGTCAGCTATGTGGAATCTACGTTTGATGGGGGGTGAAGACACTTCTCTCTTTCTGAACTCAGTCCTCAACTTCTACAAACAATGCTTCCTTCTTTTCCTTTCCATTAAATTTGCAATTCATTAGCTCACTGAATACTGTCTGCCTTCTGAAAGAAATACTGCCACTTATCAAGGGACCGGTTCACTAAGAAGGATGGATTTAAGTCTTGCAGAGAACGGAGTTCGTTATGTACCTGTTGTTCACCAGTGGCGTATCTTTAGGTAGAATTATAACATCACATTTTCCAAAGAAGGTCCCATGTCTAAGGGAATTCCCAAAGCTTGATATTCACTTAAACGTCAGTATATAGTGTCACCAAGAGCCTATTTCTATCCCTTATTCTGAAATCACAAGCTCGTGGCCTAGGGATCGGCCTGCTAAAACTCATCATTTAGCTGCCTGCCTCTGTAAGTGAAGTTCTGCTTCATGGTCACTTCTCTTCCTTCATAATAGCTCAGCAGGCCCTTTGCTTGATCAAGACACCTCTGCAATGTAGTCAGCACCTATTTTGAACCTAAATGCCCCGGGGTTGGGGAACATGTGGCCCTCTAGGTCCTCAAATGTGGCCCTTTGACTGAATCCAAACTTCACAAAACAAATCCCCTTAATAAAAGGATTTGTGTTGTAAAACTTGGGCTCAGACAAAAGTTCAAACTTGAGGACCTAGAAGGCCACGTGGGACCTAGAGGCCACAGGTTCCCCACCCCATGGGCTAGATTGTAGCCCATATCTTGCCTCTCCATTTAGTTTTATCCTAATTACTACTCAGGCCGAATTTGCAGGCAAAACTTTTCATTTAAAATGTATATGTCTTACATGATGTTGATTTGGGACAAAACAATACACAATGTCAATAAGTGACCTAACTTAATCAATTTGCCTTCATACAAGGACATCCAGGGCCTTGCTCCCTATGCCAATCATGCAGTGAGCCTCCACAATTTCCTCCCACTATAGAAAGCACATTTTTGCTGAGATTGGTATATGATTTTCATGGTCAATCTCCATTTCCTAATGCTTGGCTTATTTCAGCATTGACTAACTTCCCTCTGAGACAAGTTCATCTTAAATTGCGTTAATAGAAGTATAGTAACAAGATGAAGGGGGGAGGGGCATGTGATATTAGTCCCAAGGTACTCCCAGAGTATGATATTTTCAAGTATCTGAAGGGCAAGTCAGGTAACAGAGAAATAAGAAACTGTTCTGCTTGGCCCCAGAGGGCAGATCTAGGAACAGTAGGTAAAAGCTACAAGAAGGCAGATTTCTGCTGTATGTGAAGAAAAACTTCCTAACAATTAGAGTAGACTAAAGAGGAATGGAATGCTTTAAGAGTTCATCACTAGAGGTCTTCAAAGGAAGACCTGATAGCCAATTACCAGGGATACTGTAGGGAGGATTCGTATTTGGAGAAATGTTAGGTTAGCTGATCTCTGATATCCCTTCCAGCTCCAAGATTCTGGGTGGGGGGGGGGGCTGGTCAGGTCACATCTAGGGTATTATACTTAGTCCTGGTGTTTTTCTACAAAGACATTGCCAAACTGAAGAGTGTCAAGGGAAGGGCTATAAATTATAACTCACATTTACATGATGCTTTAAGGTTTAAAAAGTACTTCCTTAATCACAACCTGATGAGGTAGGTAGTGTAAAAATCATTATACCCGTTTTACAGATGTGGAAGCTAAGGTCCAAAGAAGTTGTGATTTGCCCATAGCTATTGAGTGTGGGAATTAGAGCTCAAACTCAGATCTGACTCCAGGTCCAGTGTGCTTTCCCTGACACTCAAAGGATTAATATTATTATAGAAGGTTCCAGTGCATAAAGAATCCTTAACTTCTTTAATATTTTACATTTCATTGATGGCAATATCATCATTATCTTTTCTAATATTTCCTGATCTTTTTCAGTTCCACACACATCTGTGAACTTTCTGGGCCACAGCAGGTATGCTGGCGTTGCTTTCCAAGCCCTCTGTCCAGGCAGCCATCTACCTTCATCCTCTCCTTTATATCACACAAACACACCAGTCATCTTCCATCCTCATAACAATTACCACACTGCAAATCAAAACTGGCATGTCTAAGCCTAATTCCAAAGAACCCCGGATCATCAGAACATGCTAAGGACATCTTCAAACGCAAAGTGTCAAAGCACTAGCTGCCATATAAGTAGCAAAATGCTGCAGCAGGCAGAGCTGTTGTTGTTGTTGTTATGATTTTGCCCATTTATATTCCCTAAGAAACCTGTGTTCTATTTTTGAGAATGTACCAACAATATCTTCCAACCCTCTATGCTTAGGAAAAAGTCTCCACTTCGTAAAAATATCCTCTACAATTTGTCTTTGGTGAATTATGAGTATACCCTAGCGTCAGGAAGAATTAACACAACCTATATCTTTTTTCCTCACTGAGAGCCCCCTTTGATTAAGGAAATTACTAGAGACGGTCTCCCTCTCTGGCAATGTGTCCTCATTTCAAAATCTCTATCAGTCAGACAAAAATAAGAAATGGCAGATGTGACAACTGCCCTTAGTGAGTTCAAGTCACTGAGCTCAAATGAACTCCTTCCTTGGGTCCTAAAAAAACTGGCAGATGTGATTGCTATTTGTGGACTAGGAAAAATTGTGAGAGTGAGAGAGGTGGGCCACAACTGGAGAATGGCAAATGTCCCAGTTTTCAAAAAAGGGAATAGAGTCGAATCTCCAAACTGTAGGGCCAATGACCTTGACTTCTAATTCCTGGCAAAATTCTAGAGCAGATTATTGAAGCAATGGCTGATAAACATCTCAAAAAGGAAGCAGTGATTTCAAAGACCCAGCACAGCTTCACAAAGAATGACCTTGTATCCTTTATGGACAGAGTTACTACAGGTTCATTCAGGGGAATTTTGTAGGTACCTCTCTTCTAGGACCACATTGGACCAAGGCTCTCATGTTAATCTGGTATACAAGTTGCAGAAATGGAAAGCAAAGCACGTACCATTTGACAGGATCCAGGCATCCTAAACATGTTTAGAAGCTTACTGATCTGTGATTTCATCAGTGTGGGACCGCCCTTCATGAATACAAACTAGAGCCTCTGCAAGACTTCACATTTGGTCTGATTCTAATGCATGCTTTCCCATAAATCCTCCAGAGATTATCTCCCTAACTGGGGAGGCCTTCCTCTTGTTCTTTGAATATCTTGGGGACAGCAACATACAAACAGGGCTAGCTGAAGGTCTATCCAGATGTTGTCTCCCATTTTTGATAGACAACTGTCCGCTTCTTTTCCTATTCATCCATATCCTCAATAACGTCTCTTACACAGTTTCTCCTGCACAAATCTGTCTTCTTCACTTACGTGCTATTGTCTGCTTGTGCCCACGGTATGGATTACTTCCAATAAATACATTTTAAAGTGCAATGAGCAAAGGTTACAGAAAGAAAAGCATGCCCAATTGACTACACCTATAGAAAACCATCTGTAAGGAATATGTTTTGTGCATTTGCTTAGATGTTCAGCTCTGCCTAAGGATCGCGTGTCACAGTAGGAAAAGCATTGATGCCTAGGTAGAGTCGGATGAGACCTAGGTTCACATTGTGACTTTAACACTTGTTAGCTGTAAGGCCATGAATGAGTCACTTAACCAACCTAAGTCTCCCTTTCCATTTGTTTAAAGACAATGGGACAGGGAGTAGGAGAACTGCAACGATACCTGTTGTAATAGCAATAATAATAATAATAATAATAATAATAATAATAATAATAGCTAACATTTATGTAGTGCTTACTGTGTCCCAGGCACTATGCTAAGTGCTTGAAAATTATTATCTCATTTGATCCTCACAATAATCCTGGGAGGGAGGTACTAATTCCCATTTTACCAATTAGGAAATTGAGGCAAACAAAAGTTAAGTCAATCACCCAGGGTCACACAGCTAGTAAGTGTCTCAGGCCGAATTTGAACTCAAGTCTCCTTGGCTCTAGGTTCAGTATTCTATCCACTGCACCACCTAGCTGCCCCTAATATCTTCCTCAGAGAGTTGTCGTAACAATCAAACAAAATATCTATAAAGTACTCTGTCAACTGTAAAGCACTGTATGAATATCAGGAATTATTGTCTCTGGGGAACCTAAGGGCTCTGAATGGGCCATTGGAGGGTTGGCCCCACCATCTACCTTGGATAAGTATGAAAACTCAAGGAGCCTTGAGTGCAAAACTTAGTTTGGACCTCCTTGTATAACTTGCAAGTTAACGGAATCTGTAAAAAGCAGTAGAAATACCTCCGTACTTCATGAAAGAGAATCCTATAATTAGGAGTTTAACGTAACTTAGAAAACAAAATTGTTTTCAGAGGGAGGGATTTGAGAGGACTTAATTATAACTACTTAGATTTAATTGGCTGTACTGGGCTTGGGGATTACCCTCTTGTGTAATTTACATATCCATATGGCAGACAGATTTGTATGAAAATTGTAGCACCTGGGAAAACATTTAGCAAATATAAAAGAACCAAAAACTACTACACATAAATATAGAACAAGAAAGAGGATGGATTAGATATACTTTAATAACTATCTGAAGGATTAAAGACTTAAAATGAAAAGGGACTCATTTTATAGAGGCAGAAACTGAGGCCTTGTGAATTACCTAATGTCACATAAGAAAGAAGGAAGGAAAAGCATTTATTAGGCACCTACGATGTGCCAGGCACTTTACAATTTTTTTTTTATTTGGTCCTCACAACCCTAGGAGATAGGTGCTATTATTATCTCCATTTTATAATTGAGGGAACTTAGGCAGAGAGAGGCTAAGTGACTTGCCCAAGTTACATACTATGCCCAGAGTCACATAGCTAGTAAGTAACTGATGCCATGTTTGAACTCAGATCTTCCTGACTCTGAACTGCCACCTAAATGCCACAAGTAGTCAGTGGCAGATTTAGGATTGCCGCAGGTCCTCTTACTAAATCCAGCACTCTTTCCACTGAACCACACTTCCGCAAGCAGCATTATTC